TTTATTTGAACAAACTTGGTAGACATTCACTAGAAGATATTTCATGCCAAATATCTAAGCTCTAGCTCTTATGGTTCTTTAAAAGAAGATTTTTTAAGTTTTTACTATATGCATATAGGGAAAATCAATGACCCCCCGGGGCGGGGCCAATTTTGACCCGAGGGCTTTAATTTGAACAAACGTGGTAGACACTCACTAGAAGATGTTTCATGCTTAATATCTTAGCTCTAGCTCTTTGGGTTCTTTAAAAGAAGATTTTTTAAGTTTTTACTATATGCATATAGGGAAAATCAATGACCCCCTGGGGCGGGGCCAATTTTGACCCCAGGGCTTTTATTTGAACAAACTTGGTAGACATTCACTAGAAGATATTTCATGCCAAATATCTAAGCTCTAGCTCGTACGGTTCTTTTATAGAAAATTTTTTAAGTTTTTACTATATGCATATAGGGAAAATCAATGACCCCAGGGGCGGGGCCAATTTTGACCCCAGGACTTTTATTTGAACAAACTTGGTAGACACTCACTAGAAGATGTTTCATGCCAAATATCTTAGCTATAGCTCTTTGGGTTCTTTAAAAGAAGATCTTTTAAGTTTTTACTATATGCATATAGGGAAAATCAATGACCCCCTGGGGCGGGGCCAATTTTGACCCCAGGGCTTTTATTTGAACAAACTTGGTAGACATCCACTAGAAGATGTTTCATGCCAAATATCTAAGCTCTAGCTCTTAGGGTTGTTTAAAAGAAGATATTTAAAGATTTTTCTTTCGGTTGCCATGGCAACCAGAGTTCTGCATGGAATTAAATTCTTTGAACAATTTTTAAAGGTGACCACCAAAGGAACATTCCTGTGAAGTTTGGATGAAATTGGCTCAGTGGTTAATGAGGAGATGTCATTTAAAGCAAAAGTTTACGGACGGACGACAGACGCCGGACGGACGGACGGACGCCGGACGAAAAGCGATCACAAAAGCTCACCCTGTCACTTTGTGACAGGTGAGCTAAAAAAAAGTTCTACATAAAAAACCAAATATATAACATAAATTTTCTGTTATGACACATCAGGGGTAATGTCATAATATCTTTAATCAATAACTTGTTCATTCTTCAAACACCCCCTTCGCCTTCATTGATTCAGATATTTTGCTTTTTCTTTTCATGAATTTTTAATATCTAATACTGATTTGTATTTAATACTTTGAAAGCGAAATATTTAACTTGTGCTATTTATGTGCAAACAATTCTTTAAATTATATAAATTCAATAGAAGACTACTTATTTTCTATTCAACAGCTTTAAAAAAAAACAACTTTCCATTTGATAAATTTTTTACCCTTTAATCCTATGCTGAATACTATACAGAAGCAGATTCAACTTGAACAGTTTATATAATGATGCCCATTTCTTCTTGGATATTATTTTACATCTACATTCCCCTTAGATCAATCAAAGTGTCAACTTTTAGTCATTAAATACATATGAACATTTAAAATGTTACAACCGTGTCATAAATAAATAAGCACAAATATTTTCACCCCAACTTGTGCAAAAACAAATTCTACCTACATGAAATCTTCGCAAATGACCACATCTAAAACCAAACATGTGTTTTAGACCTTTTGCAAAACTGCCTGGGTGTTTAAGACTCAAATATAAAAGTTCTGTATGTTTTACAGTTTTACACTTGAGGTTTTATCAGTATTCTTTTGACCTACAAACTTGCCGAACAATATTTAATAAAATTTATAGTTTTCTTATTATGGTAGCATCTATCACAGCTTTCAAAATGTACTAAAATTAATGTACTATCTGTGCTTCGCTTCAAAATCACTTGCATGCTGTACGGTGCCCAATTTCTCGATTATTCGAAGTTGGTGATTCTCTTTTCTGATGATGCAGTAGACTGATCATTTTTTATCGTATTTTCTAGGGGTGTCACGTTTAAACGGGTACGGTCGTTTTTTAGCTAAAAACCGACTAGAAAATTCAATAGCCGGTAACCGAGGTAAGTATTTGACTAAGCAGTGGAAAAGTTTTGAATTGATTCTAAATATTACCTTAGTTTTTTTATGACAAGATATATATGACAATTGTTTGTATTTTAGTTGTACTCAATGATGTAATTTTTCCGATCTGATCTAAATATGCTGCAACCCTAGCTGAAAATAGTAACTTCATATTCGGATATGTATGTTATCATTTTGAGTACAACAAAATATGAACAAAATGGCATATCTTGTCAAAAAGAAACAAAGTTAATGTTGAAAATCAAGGGATTTTTTTTTTCGTACGGTTTGTTTAACGTTTAACACTGTTATTTTGTTGCCGTTTAAACATTTTGCATTTTTTTAGACGTGACACCCCAAGTATTTTCCAATTTACGAAAAAAGTTGTTTGACCTTTCTTCTTTTATAACATGTGTATTTACTTTCTAAACTCATGGCAATATATCTATAGAGAGTAAAGTGCAAAACTAAGAAAACAGCTTGTCTCATGATGAAAATGATTCATTTTATAAATCAAAGTCATTTTACCTTTTAAGTTTGACAAAATACAGAGTTTCTTATAATTTTACAAGATTACGTCTAAAATATTTTTTTGCAACTTACAATATTGAAATACCATGCACAATTGGAGATTCCTCAGATAAAAAGAGCACTTACACATAACATTATGTAGAACAGTTATTTTGAACTAAAAAAAAAAACAACAATATTTCAAACAAATGCAAACACGTGTAGAGAAGATATGGAATGGCACACACCTGTAGCAGAATGCAGACACCTGCAGCACCAGAAAAAAAAGTAAAAAATAAACAAATGTTGCTGCATTCACTATTTGACAGTAATACTACATGCTTACATGGCAAGATGTTGATAGTCATAATCCCTAATTTCAATAATAGTTTACGTCAAATTTGGTAGATAAAATGAGTTTTTATTTTAAAAGAACCTTTTCTTCAAAACCAAGCTTAACTCTGTTTTCAGTGACATAAATCTTGAAGAATTAAGCACTTAAGTCTCCAATTGATTTGAAGCGAGGCATCTAATATGAGCCGCGCCATGACAAAACCAACATAATGGGTTTGCGACAAGCATGGATCCAGACCAGCCTGCGCATCCGCGCAGTCTGATCAGGATCCATGTTTTTCACTATCAGTTTCTCTACTTGCTATAGGGTTTGTAAGCGACAAGCATGGATCCTGATGAGACTGCGCGGATGCCCAGGCTGGTCTGGATCCATGCTGGTCGCAAACCCATTATGTTGGTTTTGTCATGATGCGGCTCATATGTGCTTCAGGTGTGCCGTGAATACACTAACATTGACCAACAGAATCATTTGCCAGATTGGTGGTTAACATGTTGCTTCATATTCCTTAAGGGACATAATTCATCTTAACTGTTCCAATAAAATATGTAAGAGTTATTCCCCTTCATCTTCAGATGGTTCATATTTCTTAAGGGAGGTAATTCATCTAATGTTCAAATAATATATGTGAGAGTTATTCCACTTCATCTTCAAATTTACTTTATATGTTTCATGTATTTAAAGAAGGGCATTCATCTTAATTATTCAAATAAAATATGTCAGTTATTCCCCTTCTTTTAAAAAAATAACAAACAAAAAAACAACAAAAAAGCCACAATTGTTTCATAGTAACAGTAATATTTGTGCATCAGTAAAAAGAAAAAGAAAATTTTGAGCAGTATTTTTTATTTTTCTCTTACTTATGTATATGTTACTTAATCAGTGCACAATAAAACTTGAAGTTTATGATTAATATGACCAACAAAATGTTGGGGTTTTATTACCACACAGTAGCAAGATAAAATCCTTTGCAATTAAGTATGGGTCATCTAGCTTATTTTGGTAATTTCTTTTTGATTCCTTTGTTAAAGCCACACTCTTCCAGAATCCTACTAGTTTTCATGAAAATTTTGAAAATGTATTTAATAAGGAAAATATTGTGAAGTGAACAAAGCAAATAATTAACATATTGCAAACGGCACTAACAACCCATGTAAAAAAACTAAAAAGAGGTCAAAATATATAAAAACAGCTCTGTGTTAGTAACACAGTAGAATTAGTATTGTGAAGAAATACTACAAACCAGTCATTAACATAACACAGAAATTATTACTTTTATCTTGAATCTTTTTTCTTTTCTTAAATATTAGTTCATTTTTCTCAAGTTTGTATTTTTTGGTACATTCAACTTTAATGGAACCTAATATCTACTTTCTTTAAATGAAAACAACCCAATGCTTTTCAAATAATATGAAACCCTTGAAAATGTAATATTTATGGGGTTCAGTTGGGGGCGGAAAATGCATAATGAGCTAAAATTAAATATATATTAAGGGTTTTCATTTATATCTGAGGCAAAAGATGTGCCAACAAAAACAACTGATTTGCCTATAGGTATGGGGGACAGTTTAATCTAAAGACTAAAATTACAACGATTTTCAAGGCTAACGGACGATATGGATCGCCAATCTGTAATTAAAAAAACCCCTGTATATTCCTATTTCTTTCTAATCAGTAAAGCATTTGTCAAGTTTTGAAGAGAACTTCTGGTCTGTTAAGATGACTGCTGCAAGGTAATATTATCTCCAAAGAATTATCTTTCTATATGGAGAATGGATGTCTCATTGTAACTTAACAACTATCATGTTTCCTATGTCTGGAATATTTTATAACAATAGCTGTCACTAGGACAACATGCTCTACATTTCTCAGTGTTTGACAGTAAGAAAATGGAAAGGGATATAACTCTGTAAAAAGCCAACTCAAAGTTGATGGACCTGTGTTTATCATGTTAGATATCATAATCACAGAGAACAAGTGTGTGAAGTGTCTACATATTCCCTTTAGTAGTTTTGGATATACGAACTTAACACGCAAAAACTTAACCAAAGTCTCACACAGACACTCGCATCTGAACTAGTAAAATAGCTTTCTTAGTTCTTCGAATGGTCGAGCTTAAGATTACTTACCTGGTTTTGTGTCATAAGATAAGGTTGTCCCCTGTACAACAGGATCAGTCACCTTCCTACCTCTAATCATGCTGATATACTCATTTCACAGTCTAAAAATTTAAAAATTAAATTGATTAGTCCATGCAGGGAAACATTGTGCATGACTTTTTTTCATGATCAAAAGGTCTGTCAGTGTATGCTTTTTTACACAGATGCATACAAGGACGAAAAAATCATCAGTATACAGTGTGACAGGGACATTTTGTGCAAAATAGGAATAATTAAAAAGGATAATACACAGTATTAGACATAAGAAGTAAGAACCTGCAATTGTGTGAATAAATTATGCAAATTAGATTTTTCAGCAGCCAATAAAAAATGTTTTGCCTTCAATTAATATTAGTACCCAGTGTTTTTTTTCACTTTTTGGGGAAGGGGGTCAGTGCCGTTTGGAGGGGGAAAAAAGCAAAAGGAGGGAGAATTTTATTTCTTCACAAATGAAGCAACAAAAACGAATCCAATGCATATTTTAATACAACACTTACCACTGTAAGATTTACTTTTGTTTGACATTGTTTTCTTTCCAGTGAGTAGAAAAGGGGAGCAACTCTTGCAACACAAGTTTCAAATACGTCGCTTTTTCTTAATATACGGATCTAAAATATTGACAGCAGAATTTAAAGAGTCGCATGTTAAACTTGTTGGGACGTCAGGTGTAGCTCCCCTTACATACCCGGGAACAATTTGTAAACAACTTTGCTTAACAGTAAGTCTTACAGGCTTAATAAAAAACATTTTTCGGCAGTTATACTCAAAAACAATGGTATCCATTGCAGGCAAATTTTGGCTGCCATATGAGGGGGAAATTTCGGCTTTTAGAGGGGAAAAAAACATACTATTTTGAGGGGGGAATGGGGCCGAATTTCGCCGAATATTTTGGTGAAAAAAAACACTGGTACCAAAAATAACTTTTAATACACTAAATATTATTTAGTCCCTCGTTAAAAAGCATGCCAATCATGTCAAGGATCTGCTATAAAAAAAAAAATTCTGCTAAGACGCATTTATTTTGCTATGTGACTCATTGATTTTGCTACAAGACTCATTGTTTTCAAATTGTAAGGAATTTCTAGATTAATCAGGAATTTCTAGATTAATCAATGCTACAGTACCATGTGTGCAGACAGATATGTACATGACGTGATTTAATTCAGATAAAAGCTTGAGTATTTTAATTTTTCATTTTCAACATGATATACAATATTTCATCAGCAAATGCTGTAGTTTTGGATATTCTTTTGTTTACTCAACAAATGATTATGGTTAGTAAGAGGTCAGGTAATGCACACTTGACGTCCAAATTTTTAACGTCAACGTTCTTGAAACAGACATGTAAATATTACTATTTACAAGTGAATACAACAGTTGAAATAAATTTGATGACTTAATAATGAAAAAATCATGAATTCATTGTTGGTATAAAAGCAACTGATAGCTCGACAACCACTGAACAAAGAAAAAAATCTAAATCAGGAATTTCCTTGGCTGTCCAGGTGGAGTTTGGAGGTCCAGTTTTGGTAAGGTAGCCTGGAATCCGGTTGTATCGATCTATTTACCTATAAATCACAACTGCAGTTAAAATAATTAAATATTCCTGAATCTTTATTTTGTATCATTTATTTTGATCCTTTTGTCATAATATTTACATGGCAAACATCACTGATATATACTTTTTAGCTTTGGAATATACCGATAATTACAGACATGTCAAACAGGTTGAAGAATTAGGTCACGCCATTATATCGATGCATTGTGAGAATCGCTCAGTTAGTCAAAGTTTGGGACTTGCCTGACTCATCTTTATGCTAGATTTTTCAGTCAATTAGAATCAAAGTTGTATGTTTTAAAATGTCAGCATAAATTTAGGAACTTTCAACAGACAGAAATGTGCTTTTAATAAGAACACACTATTTATAAGTCTATTTATTATCTACAAAGTCTGACGGTACTGGAAACATGTTTTTGGTCATTTTTTCGGCTCGAAACAAATGCGAAAGAATTTCGTGACACTGTTGTAAATGTTAGCAATCAGTAGCTAGTGCATTTTGCAAAAAAATCGAAAGATTTGTAAATAGATCGATACAATGAATAGCACGATACAATGGGGTTCCACTATACATGTAGTGTACATTTGTGTTATTAAAACCAACTATTTATCAGAAAATTTGTCATGTATAATTTAATTCTGTAAACATTATACAATTAAATGGCCAACAACATAAATGGCATAACTTGATACATATTTGATAATAAAACTGACACATGAATATCTATGACTCTAAAAAATGTAAACAAAATTGCATGTTGAAACATGAACGTGAAATATATAAATCATTTACAGGAGACCAACATATGCAAAAGGAACATGTAAGAAAACATCTGAATAAAAACATATTCACTGAACAGACTGCTTCACAGGAAAATAAAGGAAAGGAGGTATATCAAATACATCAAAAGAATCCTGAGCGGCGGGAAATTCATCTCTAATCTGTCAAAATTTGTTTTTTCCGATTTCATAACTTAGTTTTCATTTCCATCTAAATATCAACAATATAAGACGAATAACATGTGAAAACATCATTATTTGCACTAGCTTGGTCCATTTTCAAGATATTCTATTGAATATTAAGCATGTATTCTTGAAAAAACTCTTACATTAGAAGAAATCCCACGGTGTCCGCCATTTTGATGCTTTTCCTCCGAGGAATTGTGGGAAGGTAGTTACCATTTAAGGGCAGTAATCTAATTTTCTATACTATAAATTCATCTCTGAATAGCCTCCCTTTCACTGGAGGACTTCCTGGATTTATCCTGCTAATTGATGAAGAATTAAAACAATTATCTAGAATTTTGCCCAGTGTTAATTTAGTTTATGGATTTGAGCTAGAAGTTAAAGTTATTAAATAGAGGATATTTGTTTCGATCAGTGTAAGATCGGAATATATTTCACCGAGTGAGCACCAAATGGTATATTTGTATAATTTATATGAGTCCTGTTTTGATGTTTATTGTTATAAGGGCTTTAACATAGGCATACAAAGTAAGAAAAATAAACAAAAAGTGATTTTGATGATCTTATCAGAGACATAGCAGCTCCTATATACTCCATTGAAATATCACTCATGCCTATAAAGAAGTGGAAAATTAGGCATTTTGTAGCAAATAAAACTTAATGGATGTACATATGATCCTTTAATATTATATACCATTTGAAAGATAAATCTTTCATCTATGGCTGCATGTTAAAATAATTATTGGTAACTTTCCATGCCTTTCACTTAGAAAAACATGACAGAACATACCCACTGAGCCAATTTTTTATCATATGAATAGTTTTGTAACAAAAAATATTAAGTAGTTCTCTTTAAAAAATGATACAACATTTATTTAAATGGGAACTGTAAATATTTTTACCTGCAGCCATAGACAAATGCATAAGCTTTCAGAAAATGTATTATTTTACCGATTTTGATATCTGGTTAATAAGTTTGACTTGCTACAAATTATAAGTTTAGTAGGCACGCGTGATATTTTAACTGGCTCTCTGATCTTATCGACAGAAGACCAGCACGCTCGACTACTGTCGTTCTTGATAGAAAGAGCCAATGTTCACAAAAAGGGCCATTTTTTCAAATTCATGTTATGTACAGCTACATGTATAGACCTTGGAGAAAGTCCTATTATGCTCTCAAAGAACTGTGTAAAATTTCAACTCGTTTAAAAACAAGATGTCAATGAAATATGAAAATATCTCGGGTGGTACACAAACTTTAACGCAATTTGTAAGTCGAAAAAGGGGTTTAATTATGTCAAAATGCTTGATATAGACGGGGTTACATGTACTTCCTCCTGTCTATAGGTTGGGGGCATGATCGTGAACAAGTGCGCGAAGTTTCAAAGCCATGATATCAATGGACATTGGAAATATATGAGCCGCGTCATGACAAAACCAACATAATGGGTTTGCGACCACCATGGATCCAGACCAGCCTGTACATCCGCGCAGTCTGATCAGGATCCATGTTATTCGCTATCAGTTTCTCTACTTGTAATAGAGCTGGTAAGCGAACAGCATTGATCCTGATCAAACTGCGCGGATGCGCAGGCTGGTCTGGACCCATGCTGGTCGCAAACGCACTTTGTTGGTTTTTTGTCATGACACGGCTCATATTCTCAGTCGTAAAAGGGGTTTAATTAATTCTTAGACGGAGTTACTTCCTCCTTTCAACAGGTTGGGGGCATGATCGTGAACAAGTGCGCGAAGTTTCAAAGCCATTTATCAATGGACATTAAAAATATTTGAGTTTTTACAAAAATTTCAACATAATTAAGTGGTTACGTCGACGTCAACGCTGACGCTCGATTTACTTATCGAATAGTCGAGGTAAAAATGTATCAAGAAATGTTAAGTAAAGTTTCCTTTGATACTTACAAACCAAAATCTATGTCACATTACCGATATCAAAAAATATAAGTTATACTATGATTATGAAATATTTCATAATAATTGGAATGAATTGGATAAAGTTAAGGAAGCAAAAATAAATAAATGATGATATAGGCACATAAAGGTTCAGTATACAAGTTTGCTTCTTTAAAAAGAAGCATGCGAGAGGTCTTTTGCAGCTGTTGAAGATTTGTTTATTTCGAAATTATTTGGAAATATTTTTGCGTAAAAGGCACAATGAATGATTATTAATTACCATTATTTAACAAAATAGAATTTATTATTTATATTGAATACAGTATCATAATGAAAGTTTGTTTTAAACTTCATTTTTGTGAAAGATTATATGCCGGAGAAATGGACTTTTTTCTTGGCGCATTGGGGATACTTCTTCTACAAAGAGAACAATTTCTGTTATGTCATCAAACTAAATTGAAAATAAATGATGTATATATTAAAAGTAGTATCAGCATAACAGTTTCTTGTAAAATTCAATAAGCAAATTTTCGGTTAATGTTTTAATAAGTATATATGGAAACATTTCCTCTACATTTTCCAAAACGGGCATAAAGTATGTTAATCAAACACTTTTAAATCCCAGATTTAAAAAAATGTGTATATCAAAAAATGTGTATATCATTTCATTTGAATAAACAGTATATAAAGCTGCATGCCTCCAACCACAATATTTGTGTTGAAAAAAATCAAACTTGAGTAGAATTTGTGCCATTTACGCCAAAAAATCTCCGTTACGTAATTTAGTCATATCGGTTCAAAAGTTAAAGGAGCAGCAAAATTTCGGTACACGGTTCACTCGGCCATTATAATAGTGCATGGTGATATTGTACTCTTATTATTTATCAGAACATGAATTAGTAAAAACGCTATTCAGAAAACAATACGGTAATCGATTTATACAGTTTAAAAGATTAAATGTAAAACGAAATGAAACATCCACGTAGCGCTACGTTACGTAAATGGTATTTTTCGATTTTTCTATGGACCTAATTGGTCACTTCGATGTTAATTTTTCGTTTAAGTTAAGTCGTATTTTGAAGCGGAGCGTGATCATAACAATATTTGGAGACTGCTCCTAATGATTTTACGCTTCAAATGCGATTCATTCACTACAATCAGATACGCAAAAATGGATGCCGCCAGAAATCAGTTTAGGTCTGATGAGCTCTCCGATAAATATAATTAATGTAATTGAAATGTATCTTCATATACAAGAAGACTATTTCTGTTAAATATCTTTTCTAATAATGAATTAATGTGATATTGAATTCATTAATTGATGATGAAAAATATTAACACTTTGCTTGATGACTCAGGACCTAGAAAAGATTTTTTTTATACTATTGTATTAAATGCAGACGATAACGGAAAAGCATTTTATTTGCATAAACTTACAAATTGATTCTGCCATTTGGTACGCGATATGGATTTATACTCAATAACAATTTTTATGCGATAGCTTATAAATAATATATTATTATTGTATCTTTGCTTTTGGTTTAAATCGTATGTAAAATGACAAACTATGGTGTAGCAGTAATTATTATAGTACATGCTTTATAGTAGTGTCAAATAATTATAGTAGTTTATGTTTTTTATGACATATACAAAGTGAAAACTGTTAGTATATAGTGTTATGAATTAAATCCAATGTTTACGAATGTTGTGAAAGATCCTGTATGTTGTAATGTAAGGATGTAACATACAGTTAAGTGAAATATTATACATGTATATTATTATTCTTGAAAAACAATTTCAAAAAAAAAAATGTACAACAAATATTTATTTCGAAAATAAATTTCTAATTACTTCCCTTTATTTACATGAAATATTGAATTCGGGAATAAATTTACTAATAATGCTTTTTGAAACTTACAATATTAATAAATCTTCATTTGAGCATCAGATTTATGATATGAAATCATGAAAAATTGCGTAACAGGGTCTTTATAATTAAATTTCCGGAAATATTGCTTGTCCTTTTCAGACAAAAGAGACGGGTGAATACATTACATATAATGTTAGAAAATGGCATTTTTTATTAATTAACTATATAACGTTTTCATTGCATGTTATGTTACACAAAATAAAAAATTCACGTTTTCTTGCTGTGTCCATTTGTTAAATTGAAGAATGATAACTCTACTACTCTAGCCTTTTTCACGAATATCAACGAAACCCGAAAAATATAAAAGCTGGTGAGGGGAGGGGGGGGGGTCCGGGGATCTGGGACGCCGGGGATTCGGGAACGTACTTGGGAAAAGTAATAAAACATATTTTGTTGTTTGTCGTAATTAAATGCAAAAAAACACAACGTTAACTCCTTAAGATTGTTCCGTATGTAATTATGGTAATGACCGGTGTATTTATTTAAACTCAATAATATATCTAGAGCTATATACGTAAAATGCGGAAATCACAGTATTTATCAAGGAAAAATAAAAGGTTTTGTAATACACAATTAGGCTTAAGTGTATGTATTAATAATTATTATTTTTAGAAAAGATTGTAAGATTTATTTCATGCTTTCCAGTGTTTTATTGTAATATATCAGATGATTATATTCTGATAAACCACTAGTGAAATTTATAAAATATAATTTTCACTGTAGCCGAACTATATCTGAATGCGGATGAAAAGAAAATCATAACTAAATGGAATAACAGGCAGAAATAAATGCCGTCATGCGTAAATTTTGCTTCTTTAGGAAAAGAAAGTCGACGTCACCATACATCATGTTAAAAATGTAACAAAATAAGAGAAATTTAACAGAACTATATTTCAAAATTGATGATGTGACGTCATGATGTGATGACGTCAAAAAGGAGAATGCCCGACATTAGGCTACGCGGCAAAATCAGTAAAAAATACTTAAAATCACTTAAAAAGCATGAAATAAAAAGAAAATTTATTTGTTTTACATACAAGATTGAAATATATTTCATTCGTGAACACCAGCTATTATATTTTCACTTGTGGCTACGCCACTCGTGAAAATATTGCATCTGGTGTTCACTCAGTGAAATTATATTTCAATCTTACATGCAAAACAAACAAATATCCTCTATATACTTAACATATAATTAATAAAAAAATATTTTTTGACATCTATGATAGGTAGCCATTTTCAGGGACTAAATGTATATTTAATACAATTTAATTAAAATATAACATGTGTAGAATTTTGTAAGCTGTTATTTGACTGTTATTATTTGTTTTTCGTTGTTGTTTCGTATTCCGTTACTTC